CAAGGCTTTCCACCTGTATAACTGCTCACTCAAAACCTGTTATTTTCTAGAATGGGCAAATACCTTTTAATTTCAATTTGCCAGCATCTCATAGCCCTGTTTTCATTCTTTCCTCACCATGGTGAATGAGAAGACTTGGCTTTACTAGCCTAATCCCATCTAGGCCCTTTGACAGTGGAGCCCTACCTGGCATCTCCATCCAACATCAGCAGCCTTCCACTTCTCCTGCTCTCTTCTGATTGGTTGCTGTCCTGCTGAGTGGTGGACAGTGGAGATATGCCTCCCAGAGCCTGCTCATTTAACTGCCACAAGAGGTCTATGAAAAAAGACATTGCTTCCTCATTATTCTTCTCTCTGTCTGTTCTTGACTTTCTGAACTATAATTAGCATGGAAAACGAAGAACAGGACTCCAGAGCCAGAAGAGTAAAGTTGCCAGGTTTCAGGGCACTGGCTGATTCTCAGAGAATTGTGATGTTTTTCCAGGGTTCCTGGCCATGATACAAATCTCATGGCAAGCCGTACTGCAGGAAGAGAAAGTTCCTGCAGGTGCTGTTCCTAACTTAGCAGGAAGGTGTTTGTGTGCAGGAAATATACACCATCTGTCTCTTTCTCTCGCACACACACACACATAATCTTGCAGTTGTTACACTAGGGCCTACCTCCTTTGACATCACAGGATTGGTCTGATATCACAGGTGACCCCATGTGAGACGGGGCGAGAGTGGTAGCCCCCTCGCTGGAGTGCCGTCCCTCCCCCTGAAAGCCAAGAAAGAGATACAGACCTTGCCCGTCTCACCTCCCAAGAGAACAGAACAGTGAGGGACAGATAAAAGGGAAATAGAGGGAGAATTACAAAAGTTAACGGTTGAAAGAACTCAAGGAAAAACGGTGGGAGTAGAGTGGAAGAAAAGGGCGGAGATAAGAGGCGGGAGCAGCAGATATAAAAAGGAGGGAGAAACAGTTACCTCCAGGTTGGGAGTGGGATGGAGGACCCATGGAACGGAGCATGGGAACAATTGAGGGTCCCTAAGGAAGAGGCAGACTATAGGAAAAGGAGGAGATCCCTTTGAGACCCTCTTACTGGGGAGAAGCAGAAGTGGCCAGAGAGTGGCGGATAAAACTAAAAGAGGAGAAAGTGAGAGTAGAGAGAGAAAAAAGAGAGAGAGGCTGGAATGGAGGGTGACCCAGAGAGTGGCGGAGAAAACTAAAAGAGGAGAAAGAGAGGGTAGAAAGAGAAAAGAAAGAGAGGCTGGAATGGAGGGTGAACAAAATGAGGAGGAAGGGATACAGGGGGAACCCTGGATGACCCACACACCCATTGGATGCTCCATGTGGGTGGGTGGCTGGAACAATGACACCGTGCCCCTGTTGGAAAGTGAAGCAGGAGAGAAGGTGAACCCAAACTTATTGGTAGACTGGCGGGTCCTTGGAACTCGGTTGAAGGGAACCCCTTCCTAGATGAAGCATGGAAGGCCCTGAATGACCCGTTGTCAGAAGGAGAAAAGCATTGGATCAGTTTTGTTGACACCGGTTATTTGTTGAACACACCAATAAACATCACACCTGTTTCTAAATTACAAAAATCTCCTGATTTATTTGAACAAAAGAAGGCGCCTGAAGTTGAATCCTCACACCCCACAGCTCAGAACACTTCTTGATCATTCTTCTCTCCCACAGTTGCTTCTCTCAGGTACTTTTCCACTCTCTAAGGCGAAGAGGGTGTGTGCAGACAAACCACAGAGGAATATGTGAGGAAAGCAGCTTTTCCTCTTGTGTAGCCATTTTGCACACAAGTGGAGGGAAATAGAGGAAAAACTTGACAAAGTCCTGTTTTAAGAAAAAATTCTGTCTTCAGGTGAAATGATGCACTGTAAAGTTGGCAGCCGGGGCATTCATTCTTATTTACACATGTCGAGACCAACACACAACACCCAGAGCCATAATTTTAAAAATCGTCATGTGGGACTTCACTGCTGATTGGTCATATGAGGTGAACATATGTAGATGGAGGGTGAAGGAATGATGTGGAGCTAACTGGTCTGAGAATATGAGACCCATATTAGTTCTGGTCTGAACTCACTTGTTTTGAGAGTAGTGTGTATGTGTTTGGTTTCCTGCTGGGAGAAGCAGCTGAAGAGCCTCGTGGCGCAGTGGTTAAATCGCTGTACTGCAGCCAAAACTGTGCTCATGACCTGGGGTTCAATCCCAGGTAGCCGGCTCAACGTTGACTCAGCCTTTTATCCTTCTGAGGTCGGTAAAATGAGTAACCAGCTTGCTGGGGCCCGTGCTTTCCTGCTGGGAGAAGCAGCTGAAGATAGTGTATGCACCCAGGACTGGCAGATTCATGTCGTCTCAACAGTAAATACTAACAGGCAGGTTTACACCCTTCCGACAGCACATTTTTGCACCCACCACATGTTATTGCCTTAGGTCGAAGTCCCAGTTACCCTGTCCTATTTGCAGTTCTGAAATGTAGTCTGGTAATGCAGTTGTCTTCCAGTTGTTGCTGGAGGCAAGAAACATGCCTCCAGCAGGCATTTGCCCCTCGCCAAAGACACTGTGTGTGCATGAGAGGGAAGAATACTGTGTTCTAACAGCAACAGGGTACTTTTGAAGAAAGTTCGGCATCCAAGTTCATTAAAACAATTTTGCAACCCTTTGTCAGCATCTTGCTATAACTATTACATATCAGCTGAAGCTTCCTAGCTTCCTGACGTCAGCCAAAGCAATTAGTGTTAATGGTTATCATTATATATTCATTATATAACATAATTTATTCTAAGAAACATGGGCTGGAGGAGCGGACAATGAAAATAGAAGCTGTTAATTTCAGAGGATAAGCTTTTAAAAGTTGGTTTTTCAGGGAAAGAAATATCTATGTGGCATTAGAATTATTTATTGTCCTGGAATGTGTTATGAGCAGACATGACTATGGGGTCCTTTATTTGTAAATTTGGTTATTGGAATACAAAGTGGCTCCATTTCTTTATCACCTTTTTGAATATGTATTTCCCATTTTCCCAGTGCTTTTGTGCTATTCAGGGCATATCCCAACAATTTAGAGCAATGATGAAGTAATGTATAGTTTTAAAAAATGTAAAATTTGATATAATGACATGACCAGGTGCAGCAGGCAAGACAAATGCTATATTGGATAAAAACATAAGTAGCTCAAGAATCACATGAGAAGACAAGAAACACTGGAAAAGAAAATAATGTTGGGAAAGCTGAAGGCGGCAAATAATAGGAGAATAAATATGAGATGCACTGATTCCATTTCTTTCATGCACATGGTGAAAGACTTTAAGTGTGTTATCCTAAGCAAAATGGCATCAAGGATTAGGTGAATACCTCTCCCCTTAATCAGAGACAAGAATCTGCTCCCCTATTGCAAATGGTATGTTGCCAACATATGGGTCATCTGCAGAACACCCCAGGCTCACATAGCATCTGTGCTTACTAGATTTAATGTTCTACCCTCAGCATTGGTCCAGAGTAGATTTTGAGAGTTCCCTGTCCACAGCTAGAGCTCTTGAATTTTTGTCTCGGGTCCTTCTGTATTGTTCTGTAGGTTCTAGGAACAAACAAAGAATTATTTAATTTGTACCCTCTTGCAAACATTTCAAGGCCATCCTGATAAGTGGTTGTTTATGTATTGTTTGTCGGACCAGACTCCTTATGTTTCTGTTCATGTTACTAACCTTTTTCTTGCTGTAATACGAAAAAGGGCCTACTTATTAGAAGATGCTTGATAACCTTTCATTGCTTTTTAAATTATTTTCTGTGTTCTTTGTATTGTGTGTAAATCCGTTGATGTCATATAACCATGTGTGTTCTTTGTTGTTGATGAGTATCTGAACAAGTCATATAACCACAATAAACTAATTGATTGACCTACAATGCTAGAATGTGTTGATTAGCCATCATTTTCTGATTACAACATTGTTCTAGTTTCCACGTACCATTATTTGTGCATTATGCAGTAATGTTTCACTGTTGTGGCCAAAATCCTCTTGCATACCAGTGTAATGCAAATCATAACTTTTGGAGGTGAATTGCTTCAAGTTAAGAAATTACCACAGACATTATCTGTTGCAAAATGACTTGCAAGAAGATTTTGGTGCATGTATTTTTCTCAGTCTCTAAATGTACAACACAAATGTAGAAGAATGTGCTACCTTTATTAGATCACTAAAAAAGCAAACAATTTTCATGAATTTAAAAAAAAAAACCCTTCAGACATGCAGCAGTAACTTCTGAACAGGGTAGAAAAATTACAAGTGAATGCCCCAACAATTCATGGAAAAAGTTTGCCAGGCATCCTCTTAAAGTGGGTTTAAAGCTGGTTAAAGTTATGCGGTGGGGGTGTGGTTTCAAGTTTCACCCCCTGGAACCATGCAGTTGGAAGTTTCTACTCGGCATTCAGAGGCAGCCTATCATTCTGCATAAGCCCCGCCCCCTCGCCCAATTACCTGCTTTTGGAACACAAGTTTCCTTTTTTGGCTGGGAGTAGGGAAAAGACCACACATGGACATAGTGATCCTCAACAGAATCTCTCTCTCTCTTCCTCCCTCCTTCCTATTCTTCACCCCCACCCCAATCCCTTGCATCCACATGCATTTCTCTCTTTGCTTTAGAAGGAGATGGCCGGAAGCTCAAAGGCGCTATCCAACGGAGCACAGAAACGGGCTTAGCTGTTGAAATGCCAAGCAGAACTATCCGACAAGCCAGCCATGAATCCATTGAGGACAGCATGAACAGCTATGGATCTGAAGGAAAGTAAGTTGGAAGGGTTGCAGCCATATCATTTCAGACAAGCAATTTCCTCCCTTCTCCCTAGCAATTAGCAGCCATCTATAGCAGTCATCAGCAATAGGTTTGCTTGATCTCAGGGTACCTGCTGTCTCAAAGAATTGTCATGCCTCTGAGGTGGCTCAAAAGCCTGGGCACCTGTTTCCACTCATTCTCAGCTAGTCTCAGAACTCACTGGCTCAGTGCAAAGTCCCCCCCCCTCTTTGTTGGACTTCCAGAACATTGAAACAGTTACAAGTTTTCAGGAATAGGAAGATGGCCAGAGAGCCCATCGTGCCATTTGGTGCAAGGCAGGGAGGCATATGTGCTTGTTTCCAGAATCAGTAATTGTAGCATCTTTCTCAACCCTTTGCCTGCATATAAGGGGCACTGTATAATACAGTATACATTATCTCCACTTTATAGTGGCGGTAATAACTTGTCAGAGTGAAACCTGTTATTAACTAAAATGAGGATATATTGATAGACTCTGGGAGATAGTGGTGGAAATCCCCTGTCTGTTGCTGCTAAAGGCTCTGGGTTTTCCCTTTGTTAAAGGGACAGATCTGTGTATGCCACCTATTCTGTTCCGGGTCTCCTAAATTACTTTTAGTATGGTGGAGAATGCTATCCAGTTGGCTTCTATGTGTGAAATGGGAAAGGAAAACGTCTTGGGAACTGGCACCTTTGTGTAGCTTTCTTTTAATGATGCTTAGGCCTGACTGAGGTTTTAGGTAATCTTAGCCAAGCATGTACAGTAGTTATTAAAAGACATAAGAAGTGAAATGAGTATGCTGTGGTGATCCTGAACAGTAGTTCCCAAGTTAACCATACTCATGTGAATTGAACCATGAGCTATTGTGACTTAAAAACACACACTATCAGGTATTCTATATAAAAAGGCGGATTCCACACATAGGGCCTTTTTGTGGCTAGTCCTAGATAAATTTAATTTTCACTGTAGTGAAAGCACAAGATTTTTGGGCCTTTATAGGTCAAAAGCAGCACTTTTTAATTGTATCTGGAAAGAGATCAGTAGCTAATGAAGGTGTTGTGAGCAACGCTATGTGTGCAGTATTTTTAAACAAAAGGATGGAGGTGGTGTAGCTGTATTATTTTGACCTTTTCAGTCAGGTATGCCAGGCAGCCTATGCTCCTTTCCTTAATATGAATTGAATCAGCTACGAAACACACAAATCATTCTGAGGTGAGGATGTGAAGGAGATTTGTGTAATGGATGCTCATGTCATAGAAAGACCAATGGCCACATAAAGCAGTCTGAAGGCACTGTTTCTACTCTGTATAATTTCAATGATGATGCGGTATTGGGAGGGAGGGAGGGAGGGCTCTCCTAGGCTGAAAATTCAAGTTCTCCAGACACAATTACATAACCTTCCCTGTCAGATTTCAGAAACATCTTTACTATCCATCTTGGCAATATAGATTCAAGTAGAAATGGGCAGATTTAAAAATGTGTAGGACATGGATGTGTAAAATTTCCTCCGTTGCTCCCAAAATTGTGTTTGGCTTGTTGCAGTAGAGGATCTTCTAGCACCATCATAGTTATTCAGAATTGTTATCCACAAGGCAATTAACAGACTGTTCACTACTGATCTGCACCCCCACCATTAATTCACATTCCTACCCATAATCATGAGTTAGCACTAACATTAACTGAACTAACAAGAGTGAAATTTTAATTAATATTGCTGATATGTTTTGCTGGTATGTTTTGCTTTGTTGGAATTGCTAGCATTCTAAGATCTGGTCATGGGAAAGAATAGCTCCTGATCATCTTGAGCATTGTCTTGTTTTGTTTATACCTTACCATTCTCCCAGGAGAGCAACCCAAGGCTGCTAACAAAGATTTAAAAATATTTATATTAAAACAATTTAAAATACAATAATCACAATATTGCGAACAATTCGGTATATTAATTGTTAAAAATATTAAATAAAACCAACTTTAAAATAATTAAAAATACACATTTAAAACAACAAAAAGACCATTCCTTCCTTAAAAACACATTCCTTTGCAGCAATTTATTCCCTTTAAAGAAAGCTTTTGCCAGTGGGAAGGAGCTGTTGCGATGTCTTGTGGAGGAATCTTTCACTTCCTAGGAATGGCCACCAAAAAGTTCATCTCTTATGCCTGCACCAAGCATGACTGTTGGGGTGGTGGGACTGAGAAGATAGTCTCCCCACAAAGATCTTAAACCAAGGGAGACTGATATGGGGAGATGTAGTCCCTTGGAGAGCCTTGACCCAACAAGAGATTTATACTTTCCCTGTAGCCATTTCTGGCCAGGAGTCCAGCGGCATCATCCTGGACCCACTGAACTTTCTACCTGCTTATGAGGCAGCCCCACATGTCAGTAGTCTGAACAAGATGTAACCAAGGCATGGTTTCACTTGGGCCAGATCAGACATGAATGATAATCACAGCAGCCAGGCCTCAGAAGAAAGGAGGAAGAGAAGACATCGGTGACAGCAGAAGGAGGAAGGGCAAGGGGAAGAGGAAATTTCATGCCGGACTCTAGATGTTGGCTATTAGAGCCGGTTGTTTCTAGAATAGCTCTTCCAGAGCCCAATATTCAAGAAATACCCATTTTGAAGAAGAGACATATGACAACTTCCTTTGTTTTCTCTTCTGTTGACAGCCAGGTAGTTAGCCAGTGGGTGAGCTGCTGTACGGTCATCGTCGTCCTCCTCCTCTTCTTCCCATCTTTTTATCCGATCATTCCCTCTGCTTCCTCCGTTTCCTACAGGTGAACTGATGCCACTGCCACCACTATAATAGTCTCTTTCTCTGCACTTTATCCAAAGGTAGGGAGTAGTGAGGCATTGGTGAAATGTGCAGTTCTGAAGAGGTGCCCTATAAGCAGCACCTTTCTAAAACAGTACAGGCCCTCTAGACTGAGACATGGTGGAGTCAGAGCAGTAGTGTCAAATGTGCTGTCCCCATGATCTGTTACTTAGAGCAATTACTATGCTAGGCCTAATGGGTTGACTGGTCCTCTGTCTACCTAGCAGCGGCCTCAGAAAACAATATTGCATGTGTTGATACACCATCTGAATGTCCCATAATCAGGAATATTTTATGTGTTAGAACTAAGATTCCCTAAGATAGTCATTCCACATATTGCTGATCTAATACCTGCCCAGTTCTATAGCCCTGCAGTTTCCAGGAAGTATTTGAGTTTTGCATTGATATACCTGTTCATATATACATATATGAACAGGTATATCAATATATTCACCAGATTATATTTTTTAAATGGTTTGGCAATATCAGAAGCAGAAATATTTTGAGTTTTCCAAAAATTTGATTTTAGATATTTAATCAAACCAGCAGAGGTTAAAGAACTTAGCATCACCTCCGGCAATGTCCTAGAGTATTATAAAGGATAGTATGGTAGTGTGGCAGGTTAATGACAACCTAGCAATTGATTTTTCTGGAAGAGCTGAATTAGAATGAGAAAATATTGAGAGCTGCTACACTCCATAAGAAAAGGCACCTGAGGGCCTTACATTTTTTTCGCTGACTACCACTGAAATGATTAGGTCACAAAATGCAAAGGTGACTTTCTTTAAAATAATGCAGTAGGTAGCAAGTGAAGCAGGAACAAGAGAGGGGCATTCTTTTATGATGCCAGAAAGTCAGAAGAGTGTTCAGCAAGGACACATTGTCAATTTGCTGTGCCTTCATCTTTCAGTTTGATTCCAGCTCTTAAAACAAAATGTTCTCTTGCTGCTTCCCTAGAGGCTGGTTTATCATGGCATTATGTGTGCGGGATTCTCTGCACTTAGAAACACAGCATGGAAGGCTGCAGAGTCACCAGCAGGTTGGTTTCCTACGTGTCTGTCTTTAAAAGCTAATCATAATTCCTCTTATAGCTGATTTTTAATGCCAGTCACCCAAACACAAGGTTGCAGTGTACAGAGTCACAAAACTGCATTGTGCACAGCAGCAAGCAAATGTGCAATTTTTAGACAAAACAGTTAAAACTGCGAAAGCGAGCTGACAAATGGCCCATGTGGAGTGTTAAGGTGACAGCTCATCAGAGAATGGGGAGGAAGTTAAAGGGAAGCAGATGAATACAGTGGAGTCTCGACCTACGGACTTAATCCGTATTGGAACGGTGGCCACAGGTCGAATAGTCCGTAGGTCGAAAATGCATTCCCCATAGGAATGCATTGAAAACCCACTAATCCGTTCTGGCCCAAGAAAAAAAATACCCCCCCAAAAAATAAAATAAAACACTGCAAGCCCCTGGGGCTGCAAAAAAACAAAACAAACACAAACATAACCCAATCCCACCCTGCAAAAGACCAAAAAAAAGTTTTAAAAAAGCAAAAAGCAGAACCTTACCGCTGCTGCCAGGAGGCCTCCCAGACTCTAACTCCCGCTGCCGGGCTACGGCTCTGGCCGCAGACGCCAGGCCTGGCCTCTGCCACCGGGCCAGGGCTACGGCCGCCGCACCTGGCCTCCCCCGCCGCCTGGCTTCACCGCTGCTGAATGCACCATCGGGCACAGCACTTCAGGAGAAGCTGCGCGGTGGGGGAGAAAGGCCGGATCGGCTCCTGCTTTTCTTCCCCGCCACCCAGCTTCTCCCAAAGGGCTGCCCCGATGATGGTTTCAGCAGCGGAGAAGCCGGGCAGCAGGGAAGAAAGGCAGGAAGGCTCCCAGCAGCAGCAGCGGTGGTGGTGGTGGACCTCTGGATGCCTTCCAGGACAGTGGAGAAGCCTTGGAAGGCATCCGGAGGTTCCTCCCGCTGCTGGGAACTGAGCCGGGCGATCTCGACCATGCTTGGACTCCTGGGAGTCCGAGCATGACTGGAATTACCCGGCACGGCTCAGCTTTCAGCAGTGGTGGCAGCAGGGGGGGGACCTCCAGATGCCTTCCAGGGCTTCTCCGCCGCCATGGGAGGCATCTCAGAGGTTCCCCCCTACCGCCGATAGTGCTTCGGAGCTCCAAGATGCCTCCC